TGCCAGTGATGATGCATCTGTCCCTGGGCGTTTGGAAACTAGCTGCTGATTTGCGTGCGCTGGCCCCTTTGCTGTTTGCCCAACTGCGCTAAGTAGTTTTCAGCGTGGGAGTGAGAACAATTCTGTCTGCCCTGCAGAAAGCAGGCATAAATGAGAGGTCTGTCTTTACCCCCTTCTCGCCTCATCATCCTGACTGCTAGGCAGCCAGGCGTAAGGATGGAGTGCCCGGCCAAAGTGGAACAAAAAGTTAGACGAAACTTACTGTGAATGCTGTTTCCGTCCTGCATGCTGTCGTGTGGCTGCGTCCTCATATCGAAACGAAAACGGAACAGCAGCTCTCGGTGGCACTGTATATCACACTTTGCATTGGATTTGTGTCTTCAGGTTGTTCCAAAATGAGTCAAGGTGAAAACAGCCTATGGTACATTATACTTCACATTTTAGATATATGTTACATACACTGTACATAGCAACTCATACTGTAAAACACATACCCTGTCTTCCAAAGCAAAGAAGGAGATGCTGAATATGAGTGCTTTGCAAGATTCAAGGTTGGATACATCTCTTCAAAAAGCAAAGTTGTAACCCCACCAGAAGTTTGTGGTCAGATGTAAATATTTCTGGTGGTGTAGTTTTATGTGCAGAAGGTTATACTAGGTGAGCAGAGCACTCTGTTTTTCTAACCTCAAAGCATGACCATGCTTAAGTTTCCTGATGGGCTTACTGTCAAAAAGAGTGAACTTTTTAGAGACCATCAGCTTAAACTCCTCTTCAACAGACCAGTACATTCTGCTGCATCTGTGTGTGCGCACATGTGTGTATATGTGTAAGTAAGTGCCTGAACATACATAAACAATTTTACTTGAAGAAGAGATGTAAATTACCCCATCGTCCCCTCTTCATTGTACTTGGTTTTGCTGCACAAGAATAGAAAGGAACAGAGAGTGGATTTCTTCTGCAGTCCAGATGGTTATCAGCATGTGCCCTAGAGCATGAGAACTGAACACTCTCACCATTTATAAGGCAGCTAGTGTAACAGGTGTTAGAAGCAGGACTTCAGGTGAGGAATAAGCAACAGAAGGAGATAATCTATTAAGACACCAGTGCACTAGCCTGTGGCATTAGAAAGGTGAGCACAAATTTTGCTCCCTGTTTAATGCATATGAAGCTGTTGGATTATAAACGTTGGTCTATAAATTATTGTATTTTACTCTGCTGGAGGTGGTGCTTGGAAGCTGACAGAAGGCAGACTAGAGAATACGCTGGATCTCGCAGAGCCAGACTCTGGTGGTTTACATGGCTTTGTCTTTGCTTTCAGCTATTGAGTTCAAGAAGTTTTTGTTGTTGTTTATCTTTACACTACGCAGATAGGGAGACCAAAGTTGGGAATGCTTGCCAGATTTCAGCCAGCAGAGCAATGGCAGAGATGAGAGCAGAGCCAAGTCCAACTCCTGGGTCAAAATTCACCCTCTGAAGTCTGTGGCCGCTCTGGCCACTGAGAGAGCAGACTGGGAGAAAGGCAGCATCCCCTGTGTTTGATCCACACCTACTGAAAGCAGCAAAGCCTTCCCACTGATTTCAACAGTCAGTTCAGCAGGCAAAACTTTGTCCTCATTTTGTAACACAGCACTCATTTTCCTCACTTTATTCTGCTTGGTAAATATCTTTGTTAGTTGAAGACAACGCTGTTAGCTTTCACAGAGAATAAAACTGGAGAGATAAAAAGAGCCCATTTTCCTCCACCGTGGGCATGACAATAAAAGAGAAGATGGAGAGGGGAAAAAAAGAAACAGCATCCAAAAAAAGAAAAATTGTATAAGCAGGATTAGTTTTTCTTTCATGGAGAGTATAGGAAAGCATTTTCAGGACCTACTGATAGCTATGTATGCTGTGCTGTAAAATCCCTTCAGCTGCAAAGCCAACCCTCTCATGCCCTTGTTTTCACAAAACCAACTGCTTCTTTTTAAGAAAGGGCAAAGAAGGTGGGATACAAGTTTAGTAAATGCTGTACTGCACATGAAAGAATTATTTTTTGAACGACTGCTTCTGAACCACTTTCAGAAACACTGGTCTGCACCCTCAGAAAAGCCTCCTGTGACTGAACTGGTTCAGCCTCACAAAGCAAATGGGCATGCAGTGGAGGCAGGCAACTAAAGAGGGGTTTTTTGGAGAAGCTAACTTCCCAGGAAAGTGGCAGGACAGGAAGGGAAGGAAATGAGAGAAGAGGCAATCCATCTACGGAAAAGCAGTTAACTTATTTTATGGCACTTTATATCTTCCAAACACAATGTGAGTATTTAATTATGGTATCACCCCATGGGTGGAGAGAAGTGGCATGTCCACCTGCTTACTTTAGCAATAGCCAAACTGAATTAGAAAGGCTGTTTGCTGATTCTCAGTAACTAGAAGCCAAGTGGTCCTAGGTCATACTACTTTGGGGCTTTTCTCACAAGCTTCGGAGATGCTGCTGAAACCCAGCAGAGAACTGATTTGCAGTGTGAAGCGTTGGGCCCATTTCAGAGTTGCCAGCACAGCACATGTGGCTTGTCCCAGTCTGTGCAGCTTATTTGGCTGTTCTGGGTCTAGCGTGGATCAATCTAAACCTCTCTTTAGATATGGTACTTTTGTATTAGTTGAATGGAAGGCAAAAATACACTGCCACCAGCACATGGGAAACATTGATCTATGTTTGTACAGGGAGTGATTTATTTATTACACGGTTATCTATAAGGGAGCGTGCCCCTCATGTGAAGTTATCATATAGCTCTGTCCATGTCGGTCTGATTTTCCCAGTGATGTTTTGTTTTGTTTCATGCCTCATCTTGTGAAGTGCATATCAGGAGTCCAGTTAGCTTTCCACATGACAGTGCTCCTTTGGGCAATTTATTACTTGTATGGCATGGCAAAAGGGGAGGCAAAAGAAACCACACATGAGCATTTCAAGCACTCCTCAGATGGTCTTTTAAACACTTTCATATGTTGTGGTCTGGCTGCATCACATCTGACTTCTTTCTCTTTTAGCTGCAGTCAATGTGCATGCTGCCCAGAAGCAGCCTGGGGTCTGGAGTGTTTTCTGCAGGAATAGCCCCGTATTCAGCAAAATATGAACCTCACTCTGGCATCTTAGATGGCAGTCACCATGTCTCTGAGCAGATCTACACCTCACCCCAGTCCCTTCAAAAAGAAAGGTCCTACAGAAAACTCTGACCCCAGTAATCAGACCCTAATTCAATATGGGAAAGAGAATTTAAGTCCTTCATAAATAAATAAATGTTACTTCTTGTTTCTGTGTGGCACATAATACTGTGCTACAGGGGCAGTTGAAAGCCAATGGAAATTCTTGCTGCTGTCACGCAGACATCCCTTCCTTAGGTCAGCTCTGACCCATTCTCAGGCTCGATCTCAATTCCTTTTCCGACTGAGATTCAGTTCTGTATGCAGCTGTGGCTCTGGGACTTTCCAAAGCTGCTGTCTGGGAATCTGGCATAGCAGCAGAATGCAGTTCACTGCACGTGACCTCTTGCTAAAACAGAAAAAAGGGTTGCCTATCTGTTAAAGAAGTAAAAACCAAAAAAAACCAGAGTGGTACAACTCTCCCAGGTTTCTTTTAGTGCTTGGTAGAAGGAGGGTAATCAGATCTCGGAGAATGGTGTGCCAGGAAGGAAATTTCTTCCCATGCGTAGCATACAATCAGCCAGGTGCAATATGAGGAAGGGAGGTTCGTCTTCCTCTGAAGCATAAGGTATTAGCCCCTGCCAGAGGCTGTGTACCAGAGATCTGATCAGATACAGCAAATTTTATGTTCCTATGCACAGTGTGAAGCTTTCATTTCTACGCAACACATTGTAGCAAGTCAAAGAATGAGTCACCTCGCAAGGGGGAAAAGGAAAGAAAGCTTTTATCTCCCAGTGGATTGGAGATAATCTCTCTACCTGTGTATAAACAGCTCTTCACCATGCTGCCTTTTCGCCAGGGGAAGGAAGCTGTTTTAAATTTGTCTGTAAAACAGATACTGAATTGTCACACCTCCCAAGCCTCTCTGCCTGGGCCCAATAAAGGTAGCAGGCAAAAGGTCTTTGACTTTCATGGTAACTTGATTGGGCCCCTGTGAGTAAACACAGTAGTCTAGGCTGTATATGCTGTATGAGCTGGCTGGGAGAAAGGGATTGCCAGATTCTCCTTGGAGGCCTGGAAAATCTGTGCCCAAACCGAACATATCTGCTATTGTACTATAAAATGGCATACCACTCTTATGTGGACAGAGTTACATTGGTAATGTTTTATCGCTATACAGGAAACACAAGCTAAAGCAGTGCTAAAGGTGCCACAGCCTCAGTGCTTATTTTCCTCTCCAGTGTGGGAATGGCATCTGCTAGTGTAACGGCATCTGCAGGAGTGGTGGGCCAGTCTGAATACACCTTTCTCAACCATACCCACACTGATAACCACTTACAGACACACTGCTGTGGAGGCTGTATTAAGCAGCCCCTCTTTACAGACCCCAGCCACCTAGAGGGAAGTATAGCCATAGCCCTCCTGCATCTGACTACTTTTCATTATTCTTGATCGGTGATCACTTTACAAGGGGCATGAAGAGAGACCACGCCTCTCTTCTATGAAAGGATATGCACCGAAGATGGATGGGGCCAAGGACTTTGCCTCATGCCTACTCTGCACCTCAGAAGGAGCAGCTGGAGGAAAATCCCATTTCCCAGTGGAAACCTGGAATGAAATAATGGCCTAGAAGCTTTTTTCAGTATGCTGAGGCAGTTCTTGTTTCTCAACATGTCACAGATAAACCAAGGTGCCTAAACTAATGAAGTATTTCACAGTCCAGTGCTTAGAGTAATTCTGCGTCAACGTGACATTCCTCTACTACACCTTCCCCTGAGACTTTGCACATGATGGTTTGGGGAGAAAGGGGGATTCACTGATGTTTGCCTATATTCTCATGCCTTGTCTCAATTTGGTAACACAGTCGTGGTCTCTTCCTGCCACAGGTTTGCAGCCAGTTTACTGGAGCAGGGATGATGTGGCACAGTGGCTCAAGTGGGCGGAGAAGGAGTTTTCCTTGAGGCCGATTGAGAGCAACACTTTTGAGATGAACGGCAAGGCTCTGCTGCTCCTGACCAAAGAGGACTTTCGATACAGGTCTCCTCATTCAGGTGAGGATTATTGAAAAGAGAGAGGAAGCTGCAATGAAATCTGGAGAGGGTCAGAGGAGGAAACGGTCACATTTGTTGGGGTGGAGTGGACAAAGGGAGGAGAGGGAGGACAGAGGCATTTGTATGAGACAAGGACAAAAAGGACAAGGGGGGAATGAAATCCTGATGCACCTGAGTTGTGGGAAGATTTGAATGCGAATCCAAACCCAAACATCCAACCTGTTTCTAGTTAAAACTCCCTGCAGGACTCCCAGAAAGCAAGCTTCTCTGGCAGCACTTTGTGACTTCCAGCTCTTCCCTGTAAAGGCTTATCTTTTCAGAGACCCAACTACAGCAGCAAGTTAATCAAGTGCTCCAGCCTCTTAAAGAAGCCCATATTAGCATTTTGCCTCACAGTGGGCTTGGCTGATGTGCGGCTAAAAGTGACTGCAAAACTCCTCCCTAGGGGGACCTTTCCTCTATTTAACAGCCCCTGTGGGCTTTGCTTTACTTTACCATACTCTCTCACGTGCTGGAGTCCAGCCCAAGGCACAGCACAGACAGGTGTGTGAATCAGTCTGCCTATTGCTCAAATTATGTCTTCATTTATTCACAAAGAAGATTTAGAAATGTGTATGTTGCCTGCCTGTATTTATATCCCCTGCGGTCTGTGCTCCAGTTTTACAGTCAGAGCAAGCCTCTGCCCTCCTTTGTCAGGGATGTTTAACTAAATATGAGTTGTGAGCTTTTCTTTTGTGACCATACAAGGTACTCCTGTTAAATAGAAAGGCTCGTAATTCAGTCACCATAGGCGATCAAAGAGTTTGGACCAAGCGGTGACAGAATTGCTGTGAGGAGGCTTCCAGTGCAAGGCTCACTAGGTGCAGAAGTACAGCTAGTGCTGCTTGGATCCAGCAGATAAGCAAGCCATGGCACTAATTCTGCATCAAACTGCTTGGCAACTCCCTTGAATGCACCCCCAACAACCATCCTCCTGCAGAATCTGCCTCACAAACTGTGGCTTATGTTTAGTGTATAGGAAGTTTTTTAAGCATGTGCTTCAAATCCAGAACTAATTTTGTATGGAAGGAGATGCCAAACATCAATGTCTATTGCCAGTGTAATACAGTAGTGAAAACTGATGCCTAGAAATGTCTTTTTTAAAATTCTGGTACACCACTTTGAATAATTTCATTAAAAAATTATCCCTGCATAAGGCAAAAGGAGTATTGAAAGTGGGGATGTGGGCAAGGACTGTAAGGGACACCTTTATGTATCTTGTCTGCAACTCCCCTTATCATCCCAATGCCTTGCTGTCTACAGGTTATGCCCCTGCTCTTCCCCTTGTGTGGGCACTTGAAATGAGTAGGATTTAAATGTTTGTAGGCTGGAAATAGAGCATTCCCAGAGAAGAGCCTCTGGCTTGCAAATCCTCACTCTGTGCAGAAGGTTAAGCTCTTATTTGCCTAAATTTGGAATGCAATAACCAAACTAAAGGCCTCCTCCCTCGCTTTTTCTCTCCTCCTTCTCTCCAGGTATTCCCCACTGATAATAAAACTTTTAGAGGATATCTGAGTCAGTCCCTAAAAATTTAGATGACTGTAGGTAGAGGGACATTACCTCAACATTTCCAAGAAATTAACTATACGTGAAATTTAAGAACTATGAAATAATGTTTGCCATGGAGGCATTAAGTTTTTCAAGAGTGTAGCTACATAAAAGCTGTATCCTTTCCCCTCATGGTTAAAGAGAAGAACCGCATCCACTCCCCCCAGTGGTCCTAGCAATAAAGTGGGCTCACAGCCCCACAGCTATTCTCCTGTTTAGAGCTGGACAGGGAAGGGAGGCAGTGGAGGATGGAGAGAGTGAAAAATGCTTTTCATCTTAGTAGCATTACTGCATCTGGGTGGTGCAGAAGTGTAACTGTTTTGTTAGGTGAAAAAAAGACAGCCAGCTTTATGGACATGTTCACTAGTCTGTCAGGCCAAGTCAAAAGAGGTACAAATTTGCTACCTTATGCTTGGAGTGTTACAGCACTAGTTATGATTATGCCACTATTGCATTCAAAGATGCAAATTATGTGGTAAAATCACTTTTTAGCCTTTCATGTACTAAACATGGAAAAGGTAACTGGATTCTCAAAGCTTTGTTTTTAATTAGATTTTCAGGTATTCCAATCACCTTTTAAAAATGCCCTAAAGTCACTGCTGAGACAGTAAAAACAGCCCAGATGCTAAAAATAAAGGAAGCTGAACTATGGAAAGCAGGATGGCTTTAACTGTTTTATGCTAAGACACTAAACTTGCCCACTAATAGAGCATTGGCAGCTTATAGAGACAAGGGACAAATGGTGCACAGTTTACAATCTCATAGAAACAACTACTAAAAAAACCCCACACACCTGAGAAAGCTCTCCCAGAAAACCCAAGGTGTCCTAAGTGAAACTTTACTAAGTTCCTTTTCAGATAATATGTTATTGCTGCAACCTGTTCCTCTGTAATATGAGCAGTGACAAACAGAAGAGAGCAAGCAGAATTAAAAGTCCAGAGACTTCCTACCCTGTGTTGTACATTTTCACTTTGAAATGTGCAACATTATATCAGATAAAATGCAAGTACCTAAGTGTTTCATGTAGGTGTTGTTGGAGGAAGGGCATCAGTACAAGATGTAATACGTAAAAAGACACAAAATAAGCAGTTAGTCCATTGGTCTCCTAGATATTGTGGTGATAAGTTCCACTGAGGGAATGGTGGGGGGAGTGAGGAACAGCCTGCCTGCACCCCAAAAAGAAACAAGCATCTGGATCAATTCACAGAAGAACACGTCAGCTTGGTGCAGTGCAATTCGCTGCAGACGTTTCTGTGGAAGAGTGATACAATAGTAACTAACAGACTGTATTCACCCATACAGAGCACCCAAGTCCGCTGCATTTTGTTCCTTAGTCTGCATCATATCTGTGGTCTAATATTCCCTGTTGCAGTGAGCTCCATACAGATTCTAGTAGCTAGAAAAAACTAGCTTTGTGATCCCATTTGGGCTTTTCAGGAGTCCAACCTATGACACCAAGAGTGACATACGGAAGCTCCTAAGGTACCTATAGCACTCGAGTGTCTCCAGGAGTTGTCACCACAGCAAGGGTGTTCAGGGTAGTTAAATCTCTCAATTATTTTTAAGTCTTTGAGTCTCTCCCAAAGTAACTTCTCAAAGTGAGAGTTCTTTCTCCTGTGGATTTCGTAGAATGGAATGTCTTAGTAGCACGCTGCCTCTGGCCTTGAGACACCAGTGTTGCATGCAGAGGCTTTACAGCATCGTCTGTCTCCTCCCCCCATAAAGCCTAAGTTGTTCAGTAATTAAAGAAGAGCACCATCTTTGCTGCCAGCAACTCACTGCAGAAATCATAGGCTCTACATTTAAAAATTCTGCGTCCTAAGTTGTCTATCTAAAACACTGAGACTGTGATGAGAGAAGGTGGGACACTGAACTAACTACTGCTTGTAAAGGTTTGGAGCTCTTGGATGGGCAGTCATGTAGCCTGAAAAAAATTCTGTATTGGGGTAATAAAAGCCACATCTTGTCATTCTCCCATATTTCCACAGTCATACACAGAGGCGTGATATGCAGCTTTTCTTTTTCTTTTTTTCCGTTCAGGGAAGAACCTTGGAAAACAGTGAAATGTAGGATTTCACTGCAGGCATTTTTGGGTCGGAAAATAGCACCCAGGAGCCATGAGTTCATGCATCAGATGGCTAAATGTGTCTTCTAAGCAGTATGTAGGTTTTCATTTCCTTTTTCCTGCTGTTTGTCTTTTAGGTGATGTTTTGTATGAACTCCTTCAGCATATCCTGAAGCAAAGGAAAGCTCGTATGCTCTTCACACCTTTCTTCCACCCTGGGAACTCTATCCATGCTCAGCCAGAGGTCATATTGCACCAGAATCATGATGAAGGTAACTCTGTCTCATTCTTATGAGAGCTGCCATTATAGAGGCAAGTAGGGTAAGGCTGTAAGGAATTATGTCATTTTCTTGCTCCAAAGTTACTTAAATAAAGCTACTCTCCTCCCTTTGTCTCCACAGCTTTAGAACAATCAACTGGTCTAGGGAGTCAACTGTCCATTCTCCATTTATCTTCTATTATTTTGTCCTGTTTCCAAAGCCTGCTTAAAAGCTATGCCAGTTGCAGATTAAAAAAATACCAGAAAGCTTTATTGACCCCATTGATGCATTTTTCCTCACTCCCAATTAGGTAGACAAAGATGATTCGTGGACTTCTAGTATCCTGGTGATGCAACTAGATGCAATTGTTTGCAGAGCAAGGGAGAAGGCAGCCTCAGAGAGGAACATCTTAACTCAAAGTCACTTCAACTGACAATCTGTCATCGCATCATGCCAGAGTTCCTAGCACTAAGCCCATCTTGTTGCTCAGCTTTTGAGCTGATTGAGCAATTCATGTTGAAAGAAGTTTTTTTCTGCAGGTTTTCTCTCATTTTTACTTTCAGAATTACTTGCTTAGGTTATTAGTTAGCCTTCTAGTAGCGTCCACATATACCATGCCTGTCAGAGGTGGTAAAGAAAGAATATATATGTTTGTGGAATTGCAGATTTGGGCTTCTTCTTCTCATTATTAGTACAGATCAAAATGTAAGTGTGCTTCCTTCAATGGAAGATTGAGGATTTATTTTCTTTAAAAATATACACACTGAAGTACTTATTGGTTTTCTCCAATAACAGAAAAATATAAAGCCTAAGCCTTTTAAAAGGTCCTTGCCATGAAAGCATCAGGCAGAATTCACTTTTTCATTAAAAAAAAAAAAAATCTAGGAAAAAGTAGTGTTACTCCTTTTTAAAGTAAACAGGAGAAGAGAACAGAAGTGAGTTAGGATATTGCCCTAGTCTCTGCTAACTGGAGAAGAGATGCACGAATTATTTCAAGATTCAATGTGGGATTGCAAGAGAAGATTCAGGTGTACTGTCAGACCTGTACAAGTTGCCCATGGTCAGCCTGAGCAAGCCAGAATCAAATGACACCAGCAAAACTCTTAAGACTAAGCCAAGAGCAGGACAGCAGCAGATGGGATAAGGATGCTCCAAAGTGTTTCCACACAGTTACGTAAATATTTTAGATTAGAAGAGGGTGCTGCAGGTCAGGCTGAGGTGGAATTGACAGAGTTGTGCTAGACACAGTTACCTAGTGTATTGATAGGCACTTTGAAGAGACCATTATAAAAATCTCAGTTTTTTCCTGAAGCTTGGCATTCACCCACAAGTGTTCCCTTTCTAAATTTCAAAGAGAAATACTAGGTGCCCTCTTAGACACCCCCTACATTAAAGATATGGAGCAACTTTCACTCTAGAGAGAATTTCACAGGGATGTTGAGTTGGCCTTTCATGTGTGTCACTTAAAACGTAAGTCCTTTGCAATCTAGTCCAACTTCTGTCAGAGCACAGGATGATTAAGAAACAACTCTTGATTTCTTCCTCACAATACTCTGGCTGCTGATAGTATCACTGTATTTGCTTAGAGAACTCTCTGCTATTACTTAAAACTTTTCTTTATAATGACAAAAATTAGTTCTTGTTTTGCTGTGAGAGGGACTTCAAAACAAGTAAAAGAAACTACAGCTTGCCTGCCACGAGTGAGCAATCAGAAAATCTTTATGCCAAGAATTTATAGGCAGGTGAATTTATTTATTTATGTATTTTGACATTCCTTCTTTCTTCTTCCTGTCACTTGGGAGAAACTAGCACAATTAAGTTTACCATTTTCCCTGAGCAGAATGCACCTTAGTAAAAAAAGGAGAAGGAAAGTGAGAAGTAGAACTTAACCCTGCCTAACTCACAAGCTGTAACAAAGGGGTCAAGTGTTACTTTGGCACAATTTTGAGTGGTTAAACTTCATAGGTGATGGATCTTTTTTAGAATCCCTTCTTACTCCAGTGATCTTTTTCCATTTTCTTCTACTGACTCTTTTGCCCATTTCCTAATAGGTTATATACTTATGATCCTGTTTCTAAGTGCTTTCATTTTAAGTTCGTTAATCCAGAATCAGATGAGACCAACATTTACATCCGGTGGCTTTTTACTAGCTTAAGTGAAGTGGGTTTGACTGTTCAAAATCAGTTGACAGTGGTTCAGGATATCTCCAAGATGCATTGACATTGGCTTGGAATCTGCCCTGTGGCCATCAGTCTCGGTCCCTCTAGAGGGATGAGCAAGGGAGAGTGAATTACCTACGTCTCCGGTGGTCCTTCTGACTCAGCACCGAGTCATTTGATGGGATGCCATACAGGAAGCTTACACTGTCATTCCCTGCACTTCTTTTATGGGTAAGCAAGGAGTGCCAATCTTTGGGGTTGTCACACCAGCAATTGCTCACTCCCAGAGTGAGTGCAGCCCCACCCATCCCTAAATGGATCACATAGGTCAGCAGTTTTCCTGGGAGCTGAATTCCCTTTCAAAGCTTTCCCTTCAAGAAAAGGGTGTTGGTCACTCAGAATGAAGAGCCAGGCTGATGAGTGAATCTGTATGTTCCTGCAGGAAACAGTACACCATATGTGCTCAACTTACAGTCATCAGATGTGCCAAGGAATGAATGTGATGAGAACTTTATTCTGTTCAGGGTCATTCGTGGCGGTGGAACTGCCTGGAGCTGAGTTTGAATTGGTTTATGGTAAACAGCAACTTCGGCCATGAGGGGATTCTTAAGTATTGAAAGAGAAAGATCTTGCAAGAAAGTGAACACTACCGTGTATCCATATGCGTTTTTTCCTCTTGCTGCTTTTTAAAGAGTTCCTTGGTCCCTACCTTCTCTTCACCCCGTCCTGGTTCAGGATCACCATGGTTTGGGAGCAGACAGATAGGTCTGCTTCTGTTTGGAGCTTGTCAGAGCCAAATAATATTCGCAGAGAGCTTGGTGGAAAGCACAGCAAGGCATTCCTTTCTGCTTTCAAGATAGCTGCTCCCCTCAGCCAAGGCACTTTAAATAAGTAGGACAAACAATACAATATTCTGGTCTGTATTTACAGGCCAAGAATGAGCACAGTGCATTTGAATGTACACTGATGGGGGTGGATAGTCTGTAGAAGATAGGATGCTGAGTAAAATTGGGGGATTGGTTTTCTTTCTATTGTGGCAAAGAAAAGAGACTTTAAGAAAAGACAGCCACAGAGGTAGGTACAGTTGTAAATTAATTCTTCTTTGATCTTCACATCATTTGGGCCATCCCATATTAGCTGGCCACATTGTATTTAAAGCTGTTTGGATTTAAACAAGAACAATATATAGTTCTGGAGTTTCATGTCCTCCAGGTGTTTCATTGTGAGTACCTTAAATAGCTCTACGAATGCATTTTTCTTGTCTGGGACCACAAGTGTGTGAAATAAGTGTTGTGGAGCCATGTAGTTTCTGCCTAAAATTTCAGGTTTTCCTGTAGACTTTAGCCCATTGAGTAGGCAAAAGGGTTGGTGCTATGTCACTGCCTGGCACTACATTTTCTCAGGACTAGAGTTTTCCTGTTCAGGCCTTTTCCCTGGGTAAGTGCTGATCCTTTTCCTGATGCCTGCCTGGGTTCCAGGGTAGTGGGAGCCCCTGGGTCTTCACCTCAGCAGGGTCTTCAGCAAGTATCACTGCCTTGACAAGAGAGCAAGAGAATCATTAAAAAGGATCAGAGCAAATGGAGTGAACAAACAGGCAGCCACAAATAGGCAGCTACTTGTTTCAGTTGTTGACGTGTACCCAGCAGTTTCCTTCTCTTATCATCCAAGGCTTTCAACAAACGGCACTGAAATTTGATCTTTGTTTTTCAGATAAAAACCTGTTAGTCCCTGTGCTCTGGTGGTATTTTCCTCTTTGTCAGTAATTTCCCAAGTCAAAATTCATGGCCTTAGCTAAGCTGAAAGTTTGCACTGGTTATGTCAAGCATTTCATTTTGTGAGAGGATTGTTAGTACGTAAAGACACTGACCTAGAGTGGTGATTTATCTCCCCCCTACTGTTAAGGATCGCAGCTGGGGAAGTATGCTCATCCAAAAATGATGCTAGAAGTCCTTCTGCTGAAGAAATATAAGTGCTTATATGGGACAACCCATCAGTAGACAACACAGACTAAACAAAACAAGGTGAAAATATCCTTATGAAGATGTTACATGCTCTTAAAATCAAGGCAGGGATAAAATTTAGCTAGTGTTTCACAAAGAGCTTCCTACCAATGAGTTTTTTTAGATAACCCAGTCCATATTTCAGACTAAGATATTCTCTACCTTGACCCAAGCCTCTACCATCTAAAACTTACTACCCAATATTTTCCCTTTTTATCTCTGCCCTCTACCTTACAGTGCTCATCATGGTACAATAACAGGAACCACATGTAGAGACATGAACGGCAGGAGATAAGTTTCAAAGCATTTGCACAGAAACACATTTAGTACAGCTGAATCAGATCTTACTTTCTTCATGTGTGTTCCAGTCAGCTTCTCAAAATGGGATTTCTCTTAACATGTTTCCCCAGGAACTACCATTACATGGTGGTGGAGGGAGATTGTTTTCATGGTACTGATTTCATTCTGCGTGGTGATAACTACCTGCATTTGTGAGGTGTTTTTCTGGGCATCTGTAGGTCACGCAAATAAAATATTTCCAAACTGACAGCAGTACCCAGTAAGCCCAGCTAGCAGTTTGACAGTGAGATCCTACACCTTGATCACAATATAGACAATCTGTATTTATTTTTTTTTCTCCACAGATAGTTTTGTCCAGAGACCTTCAAGACCATCGACAGAAACAGTCCACCACAACCCCCCAACCATTGAACTGTTGCATCGTTCTAGATCACCCATCACCAACAACCACCGTCCATCACCAGATCCTGATCAGCGGCCACTGAAGTCCCCTATGGACAACACTATCCGTCGCCTCTCCCCAGCTGACAGGGTGCCAGGGACAAGGCATCAGCAAGAGAACAACCACCAAGAGCCCTATCCTCTCTCAGTGTCCCCGATAGAAAACAACCACTGCCCTCCTCCTTCTGAGGTGCTCCAGAAGCCCTCCAGCCCTCGCCAGGAGAACACCAGGGTCATCCAGCTGATGCCCAGCCCTATCATGCATCCTTTGATACTGAACCCCAGGCACTCCGATTTCAAACCACCAAGGTTGTCTGAGGATGGGCTGCACAGGGAGGTAAAGCCAATCAACCTGTCCCACCGAGAAGAGTTAGCTTATATGAACCACATCATGGTGTCTGTATCCCCTCCTGAGGACCATGCAATGCCAATTGGAAGAATAGCTGGTGAGTGACATTCTCTAGGGTACGCCAAAGTTGACACTTCATTCATAACTAACCATGCTGTGTATTAATAGCTTCACATTTCCTTTTGCTACTCTGTGACCTCAAGACTTTACTGGCATTCTGCAGGTTTCACCACATCTGTGGCTCAGACAGTTAAATATGATTAAACCAGTTTCATGGCAGGTAAGCAAAGGTACAGAGTGACTGGCTTGTGACCACAGAATGCGTAATTGGTATTGAAACATCTGTGACCTGACACTTACTGCCTCTCTACCCACTAGCAATCCATTTGTTTCCCAAGATACCTATCTCCAAAGCCTTGTCCTGCAAAGAGGTAATTTTCCAAGAGTTGCATTCACATTAGTGTCCAGTCCTATGGAAAGGAAAAAACCCTCTGTCAGTGGCCTTTGAGATAATGCAGTGTCAAGCCTGCTATTATGGCGATGATGGGACTAATGAAATACCACCTCAGAGCACTGCTTCATAGGCTTTCCTGTGCTTTTTACACTAGGATTGTCCCTTTTTACCGAAACAAGGTTGCCTTTGTCCCACGCAAACCACAGGCATTGTCTCACTTTTGTTATCGTAAATAACTGACATCACAACAGCTGAATCAGGAAGTTGAGGTTACAGAAGATGTTTTTTGTACTTGAAAGGGAACTGTAAATAGATAGGGAGAGGGAGAAGGGGAATCCAACCACTTCAGTAATATGCTGAATGCCCCAGTAACCAATTTCTTTTGAGAGATGTAAATAAGCACCACACCCAAAAACATTCCATGCATTTATGTCAGCAGCAAGCTAACGTGATACCCAGCTCCTGTGGCATATTGGTACATTGTAAAACACCTTGTTCTTTTTTGTCCTTACATGCCTTAAATTTGTTACAGATGTGGTGCTGCCTCAGAATTAATGAGGAAGTTTTTCTATTTTCTTAAGATTTACCACTTTAAATTCAAAAGGTACATGTCTCACCATCTAGTCAAACATCAAGCACAACAAGGGCCATGATCCTTTCACGTAATAGAGAGATGGGTTACAGAAATTAATCTTTTGATGTTTTTGCCTGGCTGACATTTGTCTCCTTTTGATTTTTATTACCCACACTACTCTCAGCAAGTTAAGAAATACACTTAATCTTACAGCAGAGAAGATACCCTACCGGTTGCATCACTGGAGATTTCTTTTCCATAAAGTACTATTTGAAGATCAGGGGAGTTGTTAATTTTTATTTTTCAGAAGGAAATGTTCTCTAAGAATGAAGCCTAGACTGAAAAGAATATAAGAAAAAATATAGGGAGTGGGTGGTGGTGTATTTTTTTAATTTAAACCCAGGAGTTTTCTTTGGTTTCTGCACGTTGTGCACTGGATCCAGTGACAGCAGTCCTGTAACTAGTACTCCCATGTCCTTTCCATCCCTATGTTGTTTGGAGGGCAACAGAACCCAAGCCCATGGATATTTGGGCCTAACACAGTTGCTTGGCAAATATGTGTAGCAATTTAAAGTGTTATACACAGGCTATATTTGCATGCTTAGCTACTTTCACTTGCAGTCTCACAGCTTTGCTTAAAGCCACGAGCATGGGTGGCATGTCTTAAAGAGCTGGTGAAGTATTTCATGCCAAAAAGACCTGAGGTGTACTCAAGCATTCAGTTCAGATGGTGGTTGCTAACATTTTAGATTTCCACTGATAAATTTGCCAGTGTACTTCTATCAGTACCCCATGTCCTTTAATTGTAACGCCAACAAGCCTCACTTGCTCTACAGGCACAAGCTAGTGCTATTCTGGTTGGGTTGTAATGGCTCCTGAACAGTAGCTGGACCCTATAAATGGCTCACAGCCATTCTCACCATAAAGGTGAGAAAACTGAGATTACTACGAAAAATATAGACAGTCCATGTTTCAGACCTGAAGTCAACTGCATTGGTGCTATTGCATTCAATGGCAGCATACTTAGGCCCCCTAGAAAGAAAGTATGTACCTTTCTACCTGTGTTCCCCCATCTCACAGCCTTCAATTTAGAGCTTTTGCCATTAAGTGATTTCAAGAGCATTTCTTCTTTATGTCAGCATAAATCTATTTTCCACCTGAGTGTCCTTATCTTCACCGACACTGCTGTAGTTAACACGGAGACTTTTGACCAACCATGGCTTGCCACTTCGATTTGAGAGAGACCATGAAAATTATAACACTTGGCTCTTAAACTGCAAATATACATCAATATAGATGTATTGTTAAAAAGAGCTTTTTAAAAATCACTGGCATTATTTCTATTTTATGGATAAGGAAGATTGATGGCTTGGGTAATGAAAAGATTTACCAATAGTCCAGTGCCAGAGCTAAGTACTTATCTGTTTACACTGGTGGGAAGAGAGCCTTGACTTTCTACTGGCTTAACCGTTTGCATGCAGGTGATTTTCAGGGGAGATAGCAATGAGGAGCAGCTACCAGGGAAGCCCTGTGGGCTGCTGACTAAAACATTGGGCTGAGCTCCAAAACATGTTCTATTCCCAGCTCAGATATTTTAAATTGTAAAAGGAATTCTTCCTGAACTTAAGATACCTCACAGCCTCATAAACCTGTTTACTTGTAGATAGAGTCTGTTTTTAAAAGCAGTATGCAATTACTTGGTGCTGAGAAAGAAAACAATGTTTTCGCTTGCTGCTATCCACAAATACTCTGTTTTCACGAGGTCGATCAATAGAGCTCTGGACTTCCTGTCAGACAACATAATGACCTCTACCCACCAGCTGACTAATCTTTCCTACCTTTTTATGTAATATCGTTTCTCAAAATACTAATTTTACTGGTAAAGCACTTTCCCTTTTACAGCAAAGAATTTCAAGTTGAAGGTCTTATTCTCTTCCTCTAAGGCCATTTTACACTTTTCTAGCAAAGCAAGAGGCATAAAGTATCTTTATGTTACTCATTAAGGTCCCATATATTATTCATCAATGGCTAGAGTTTATTTTAAAAATTATGTTTAGCTATCTTCTCAACACAATATGCAGGAGTCTTTTCTGTAAATTTGTCATAACTAGAGGTCATTGTGTTGGGATGATTCAAAGGCAGACTTGCATCCCCTTTAAATACAACGGGCAAGGGTTAAGCTAACTAACTCAGGCATCAATAGTCATCTAGCTATGACAGCACTTAAAAATATTAAAAATACCTCAGAAGGGGAGTTCAGCAGAGCAGTGTAATGGACAATTTTCCCCACTGGAACTGCTAATTCAAAGCAGCAACAGTGTTTGTTGGTAGTCAGCTCCTAACTTGGACTCTAGTAAGCAGGCAGCCTATCTGGCTTATGTTTAGTTCTGAATTTTTTAAATAGTCCATCTTGGTCCCCCCCAGATAGTCTGCAAGGTTTTCACTCAGTGGGGAAAAAATTAGAGTTTTCTTTTTTTTTTCCTATTTTTTCTTTTTTTTTTAACATAGTAGCAGTTTCAATGAAGAGAGGTGCCTGAAATCAGCTTTTCTGCAGAATGGAAATTTCACTCTCCATACACCTCTGACTGGGAGGGTTTTGTTACCAAACATTTTAGGATTTTGATATCTCATAAAAGGTACTTCCCCAAGGCACAAGGAGAGGCAGGGGTTATTGTGTTGGCAGGCATTCGTAGCGTGCCATGACTGAGGCATGCGCTGCAGCCCTGCTGGAACCACAGCCACCAGAAAGCTTCCCTGCAGCCATCCTGAAGTTCTGCCCCCATGACTTTCCTTGGGAGCTCTGCTGCCGACTTCAACCAGGGCAGGTTTGCACCACAAAACTTGATTTAGGTGTCAAAAATGTCCTTTCTTTCAGACACCCATGTCCACCTCAGCTTGTTAGCATGCAGGAAAATGGGAACTGACATGTTAGATCTCACCAGAAACCTGTCAGTCACTTAAAGGAGGACACAGGAATCCCTGCAAGAGGCAGTTACGGGATTATCTAACTATAACAGGGTTGGTTTTGTCCTAACTTTTACCACATAGAGGTTGGCTTAGAAACATCCTAATTAATGTAATGACATGCTGGTATTTACCTCACTTTTGATTCAGTCACTTAAAACTCACTAATACAATTCTGGATGTTTCGTGTGAGGGGAAGTAACATTGCTGAGGAGGTTCCTGGGATTTCCAGCTCCCAGTGTCTTTTTCTATACTAGCTCTCTGGGACTGAAAGGCTTGTTCACTAATCCACAGCAGATGCTGGCACTGAAACTCTGGGGTACAAATATAACTACCCCTTTACTCAAGCATTGCCCGGTATAGATACTAACCAAACGACTGCATGGGTGTGAAAGGCAGAGTGCCATAGAGCAGCGGTAGGTGCAGCTGGACTCACCCTAAGGGCTCCCTGTCCTGTTGGAGTTGGGACCCAATAAAACCCATTAAGCTCCAGGTTCACTCTGTGCGTGTCTAAGGCAGACCTATCCCACTCATACGAGCAGCTTAGAAGGATGAGCATTGCTATTCCTCCGCAGAGCCCCACCCTGCCTATTGCTTTTGATTCTGCTCTGCATTCGATGGGGGAGAAATCTAAAGGCAGGTGAGTGTTGTGCCTGTTGTTGTCTATTGGTATGCTGTTCTTATCAGCTGGGTTACCTTAGCAACTGGGCTGTATCTGACTTTATGAGCTGCCAGATTTGTTTCTTCCCCTTCAGGAGTCTGAGGAAAAGCCAGATAATGTTTAAACTGTTCAGAGGCACATCGTCTACCACTGTATTGGTTTGGCCCATAAAACTATTGACTGCTGTTGGAATGAGGACAGGCAAGATTCTTAACCTGCCAAAGGCATGAAAGAGATCTACCTCCAGCTTTTCTTCTGACTTGCCTCAGCCCCTTGGTGTGCCACACATCCAGAGAGTACAGGGGCGTAGTATGAACCCTGCAGATTTGTAGCAAGACACGTATAAGCAACTTCTCAATAAAAACAGTCTGACAGCTGAAACTGAAAATGCAGTCCCCTGTTAAGAGTGCATCAGCTATGAATGACTCACATTCTACTAAAATC